TTGTGTGGTTATATATCTGTCTCCTTCTGTCTCCATACTTATTTTGATGGATTTGTGATATGTTAACTTGGTTAGGCTGAATCACAATCCTTAGAATTCCTTTTCTAATATGTTTCACTTTTCAGTAGACAACAAGGGATATTCTCTCCTGAGAGGTGGAGAATAAAAGGGAAGAAGCAATAATTTTGCAGCATACCTATAACTTCTCCCAGTCATTCAATCAAACACTCATCCAGGTGCTGCTGTGAAGAGACTTTGCAGATGTGATTAAAGGCAATAATCAGTTGACATTTTAAAGTTAATCAAAAGGAAGATTATTCTGGGTGGGCCTGATTCAATCAGTTGTAAAGCATTTAAAATAAGATTCAAGTCTTCTTTGAAGGAGAGACCCCAAATGGCTCCTGGCCCTGCAAATTTTCCTTCCTGTCTGCCAGCTGTGGCCAAGTTTCGGCTCATACCTCTGGAGTTCGGCCTGCTTGTTGTTTTCCCTTCCCGATTTTCTGCCCTATAGACCTTGGACTTGCACGGCCAGCCACACAATTGCAAGGCCAATTCACTATAAGAAGTCAATTTGTCCCTCTCTCTTCATCCCTCCTTCACTCTTTCTTTCTTTCTTTTTCTGTATACACACACCCCTCTCCTGCTGGTTCTGCTTCTCTGGATGAAGTCTAATTGATATATCCACCCTCCAGATTACAAGGGCATGACGTTAGGGATGGAGGTTCATTTTTCATGGCATCTCCAGTGCACTAATAAGTGCCCAGTAAATGTTTATGACTTATTATTTAATTCATTTTTGTGACTTAGAAGTTTCCTACCGGCATTGTTTTAGAGGCAGAGTCTCCCTCTGTTGCCCAGGCTAGAGTGCAGTGGCATAATCATGGCTCAGAGTAGCTTGACCTCCTGGATTCAAGCAATATTTCCACCTCAGGCTTCCTAGTAGTCAGGACTACAGACACATGCCACCATGCCCAGCTAATTTTTGTATTTTTTGTAGAGACAGGGTTTTACCATGTTGTCCAGCCTGGTCTTGAACTCCTGAGCTCAAGTAGTCCACCTGCCTTGCATTCCCAAAGTTCTAGGACTACAGGCATGAGCCACCATACCAGGCCATGTTTTTTATTTTATAATGCAGAAACTCACAGTAGGCCAACAGGCCAAGATGCCAGACTTACATAGTATAAGTCACTTAGCCTGAGGTTTTCTTAGGAGAAATCTAAGCAGCAAGATAAGAAGAAAAGGGGACTAGTGAAAGGCTCCACATAAATGTACATGCCATTTCTTGAATCTTCACTTGGTGCCAGTGCTCCGCTAAGTACTCTACATGATTACCTCTTGAGTCCTTACAACTTTATAAGATAGATCATATCATTATCTCTATTAGCTAATGAGGAAACTGAGGGTTAGAGAGATGCTAAGATGAAGCAAGACTCAAATTCAGTGAATCTGACTCCAGAGTTTGCATTTCAGCTACTAAGCTATCTACCTGAGGGATCTCAAGAAACCCAAGAGAAGTCTGCATGGTTGAATTCTTGTTTTCTCCTCTCACAGCACGAAACCCAAAGGGCTGGCCCTGTGGAAGGAGAAAGTTCCAGGCTCCCAGAGCCTTAGAGCTGGCTTCAGATGGAGGGTCAGCATCCACACAAGCAAGGCACCCAGCCTGGGAAAACCCACTAAGCCTACTTTTAATAAGGAAGGAGGGTGCTGCCCTGGCACACACAGGCTAATATGTCAGATGTGTCATTAGAAGGGATGCTCTCCTTTTACATTGAATGCCAGTTTGAGATTGATATGCATATTTGATTTCTAGCAGGGTGAAAGTCAATGAAGCAACAAGGTGGAGAAACATGTACTAGACCCCACAGCTTCCCTGGAAGCCTGCCTGGCAGAATCCCACTGAATGAAAAGAAAGCTGCTGTCCATGGTACTGATGAGTGCTAGAACCTGGAAGCCAAGAGTTGAAGCTATGTAGTTCCTTAATCAGGGAATCTACTCTAAAAGGGCCTCAGCTTGGTTGACAAATAAAATGAAGCTGCTGTACAGGGTTGTTAGGACCAAGGTCAAAGCTGAAGTATCCCTAGAGTCCAGCGGGCTTCTTCCAGGTAAGTCCTCTGTCTAATGTTCAGACACCAGACTTCTGAAAGGTGAGGCTTCTGTTACCGTTCCCAGCCTTGCTTACACCATGCTCCACTTCACTCTCTGGCCTTTAAAAATAGTGGCCTTCTTAGAATTCATCCAACATGTCATACTCTCTCCCGCCATAGCGCCTCTGCACACACTGAACACATATCTCCACACCTCTTTGCCAAGTTAGCCCATACCCTTCCTCTTTCAGATCTCAACAATCAATTAGTTAACCAAACCTTTCCTGGTCTATAGCAGGATTTTAAAAAATGCATTCATAGAACCATATTCCCTATCTTCACAGAAATTATCTCAGTTTATAATTATATACTCATTAGTGTATTTGATGACCATTACTCTGAAAGTGGCAAATTTGTTTTTTCTCATTTTTGTGTCTGGCACAAACTAGGCACTTAATTTATCATTGTTGAGGGCTAGTCTTTATTTTTACTTGATTTGGGTCTATTTAATAGGTCCCACGTTGGAGAAGGTAAGAAATTAGGTCAATTCATTCTTCAGAGTTCAAAGGATTCTAGGTATAGCATAGTTTTCATAAAGAAGCCACATATTTTAATATCAATTTTCATTTATTGCTATTGCCTATTACCCTAGAAAATTACCAATCTATTAATGAGTTATTATTGTCCTGATATAGTTAGCCTATTAAGACCAAAGTTTGACTACTTTATGTGAGAACTTGTTATACAAGCCAAGAACTGACTGGCTAAGGATGGAAGGGAGAGAATTCATGACCAGGCATGATGAGCTTTAGGAATGCCTTGCTCGGATCTGGTGCTACACACAAGGCCCTGGGCCTCAGAGTCCCTGCAAAAATCTGGTAACTAGGGAGCAATACTTTGCAAAGGACACCCAACTGCAAAGCCAAAGGAAGAGTCTAGAATTGAAAAGACAATCCAGATAATAAATTTAGCAGAATAAAAGCCACCATTCTAATGTTCAACTTTTCTTGTTTCCTTGCTCTTTCAGTAACTATTATGATTGTGGTAGTCCCTATTTACTGAGCATTCACTTAGCAAGGTACTGCCCTATATGTGTGCATGTGTGTGTGTGTGTGTGTGTGTGTGTGTGTGTGTGTATTTAATCCTCACAATCCTCTTTGATAGAGCTCCTTTCTACAGATAACAAAATAGAGAAACGGAGGCTTGGATAAATTAAGAAACATGTTAAAGCTTATACAACCAGAAAGTGGTAGGGCTGGGTGAGAACTCTATCATTTGTTGAACTCTAAAGCCTGAGTTCTCAATCATAATGCCAAACTCACACCAAATGCCAGTCACTGGAAGACATGACTTTTTCCAACCATATCTCCAGATCACTTGTCTCACTATTTACTTAATAGTTTACATATACTTACTTTGTAATATAAATGGATTTTCAATATCTGTGAAATTGTAGAATATAATGGTTGTGTTTTCTGACGTTCATTAAAATAAATACATAAATATGAAAACTAAAAAATGTTTATGTATTGCTTAGAAGCATGTTGCTTACCACCCCCCAGTAGTAGCCACAGTATGCTTTGGGAATCCCACATTATTCTATCCTGAACCATGTTTCTTCTATCTCCTTTGTGAATAGAGGGCATTGTGGAAATCCTGCCTGGTGGGTGGTATTTTTCTGAGGCTGTTTTGAAAGATGACCGCCTCCTACCCCAGAGGTGGCTATACTTCAGTGATGAGAGGGAAAGGGGTCTCAGTTTGTATAGTTGGCTCAGTGCTTAGGGCGGTCTGGTTGATAAGAACTATATAGATATCACTTATCATCGTTCTCATGATGACAATGATTACTTTACATATGGCTGCTTTAAGGGTGAATGGCACGGTCTCATTAGTATGCCAGCATCTGGCAGGCTGTCACACATCTGCAGAATATAACCTAAACTGTGCTGTTGATATTTCCCCTTTTCATTCTCCCCAGGGCATCTGTCTCCCAAAATGCCTAAAGAAAATCCCCTCCCCCTTGAAGGCCTAGAGGCAATATTCAGAAAATATGTCACCTAGACTGGGGGAAGCAGAAGCTCGGAGTGACAGCCAGCTGAGCCTGAGCAGATTTCTGGCTCTTGGAATAGATGGAGAGAGAGAAAGGGAACCACCACCCACACTCATTCTATTAGCAGCTGCACTGCCAGGCAAAATTTGTAGGCAGGCCCAGACAGCATGTTGAGTCTGTTCTGTGATCAACAAAAGATGCCAGGCATGGTCCTGATGGTCAGTTCTCAGTGTCTTCAAATATATCTCATACTTGCCACTACCTGGTTAAAGCTGCCTTCCCTGAAAGCCTTTGGAGACTGTTGAGTGCTCTCTGTGGTGGAAACTAGCTAGCTGTGTACCAAAACCAGGTCATTTTTCTTGGGCACACAGCCAGACTACATTTTCCAGGCTGTCTAGCAGTAAGAGGTGGCCATGTGGCTGAATGGTCTAAAAACCGTGGAATGCAAGCTTTTTAAGGGCTCAAAGTACTCTCCCATTTCTTATCTTCCATTACCTTCCCCTTTTACAGTCCCGCTACAAACATGGTCACCACTGGGGAGCTGCAGATGAAAGAGGTCCAAGTTTCTGAATTACTGATTGGAGGAGGCTGCCTGCTTATGGGAATTATCAATATTAGACTTTATAGGAAAATTGATTCAGAGTCCCAATCCAGAGTTAGTCCTGGCTTACCACTTGTAATAACAATATTTCCCTAACTTTATTGTTGTGATTAAAGAGTCTCATAGGTGCCAGAATATTTTAAAAGGGGCAAGTTCTCCACAAATTCTAGGTGTTGCATTTCTATTCCATATTTTCCCCAAGCCCACTCGTACCTGAATACTTTTAATTCAGGCCAGTTGATTCTTGGCCACAACGAAAGGATACTAAAACTTTGATTGGTTATTTCAAAGTTCCATAGGTTAATCCTCAGGTCATCAGCAGACATGTAGGTTTCATAGTCGCTGTTGACAGATATGGAGTTGATGTGATATGTGTGTGCATTGGCAAATACTCTTCGTGGGGTGGCCTCCACCATCAGGTCCATGGGTCTCAAGACCGGCACCTGGAATGCAAGAGAAACAAATCACTTCAGAACCAAATGTCTTCCATAGGAAAAGAGTGTGCATGCTTATGTCATTGATTATCACAGAACAAATCATACCCACACTGAAGAAACTCCAGGTCAGAGAAAGAAGAGGCTAATAAAGAATCACACATTGTTCCCGTTCCCTTCTGTTCCTCCTCTTTCAAAAGATATCACCATCTCTTAGCCCTGATGGGAAATTTCATTCTTTATAAATTCTAAATATTTTTCCAAGCTCCTCCAGGTAGCCTCATCTCAGGGGAACTTGGCTTCCATTGTGGAATCATTACCTCTCAGAGATGTTGTTCCAGATTTTTTTTAAACATGGAATCTATTTAAAAAATGAAGTTGTAGGAAAACTTTAGAAAGGTCTAGTTCAACTTCAATCTAAATCCATCTTTTATGTCTTTTCATCTTATGGCTTTGGAAGCCTACACCCCTTCCTGGCTTTGTTCTCAATCCTTAAGTGCATTTTGGGAAAGTTTATCATCACCCAAGACTTTAACAGTCCAAATTCAGTCACTAATCTAGAGGGAACCCAGTGACATCCTGATTGACCTGAGAAAATCTTGGTTTATACTTGTCTTAGAGTGTCAACCAGGTAGTGTCCACATTTACATGCAAAACTATCCCAGTTTGCATATTAATGATATGGTCACCTTACTGATATATAAAAACTTCTCAGTAAGTATTTGTTGAAAGAATGAGAACACATGAGTAAATGATTTCTTTCTGGTGGATCAGAGAATCGACCGTTAAATAGTTTCCCACACATGACTGTCTCTCTGGCAAACATGAACGAAGAACCATCACGCTTCCTCCTTTATCTTTGAGTTCTGGGTGAACTGGCTCCAAAGAAAGAGAGTAAGAACACAAATGTCTGAAAGGAAGCAAACTAAAAAAGCACAAAAGACAAACAAAACCTCACACCACAGGCATGGTCTCTTAATAAAAACAAGATAATAAAATAACCAAAGCTATTTTCTTTTCAAGCTCATCATCTCTTGCAACTGACCCCGACTGATTTGATACCAGGTGGTAGATGAAGACTTGTCTTCAGGATTGGCTTCAACCCAGGTGGGGAGAAGAAGAAAGTAAAAACAAAAGTTAAATTATCAGAAGTGCAGCCAGCCACCTCACAAATATAACCTTTTAGAAAAAAAAAATTCTCCCAGCTCAGACTTGAGGGACTTGAACTCACCTTTGAGGGAGTTTTTAAATCAAATAAATGATTCAGAGGAAACATGGAATTCTAGACAGATGTGGTACTTGATAACCCAGAAATTAGAGGTGACTTGGGAGTGGCTATAGATGAGTCAGCTGTCCTGGGAATACTAGGAAAGGAAAGGAAGGGAAAGTCTTTGTGGTCCGCCATCCCAATCGTAAATAATGGCCCTATAGCCTAAGTGTGTGTGGCAGGAATTGGGAGACCAGTTCGCCACTAACCAACAGGCTGTGAGGTCTGGGCAACTAACCTTCTCCTCCTGAGCTCAATCACACTGTCTACAAAGCAGTGACCATGCTCCCTATGCCCTCACTATCACAAAGGATGGTGTGGGGTTTTGTTGAGATGATCTGACCTCCAATACATCCTCCTACCCAGTCTTTCAGCAACATTTACTGAGTGTCACACGAAGTCCTAGGGAGCACAACTGGTGAGCAGAACCAAACACAGATCCTGCCATCTATAGCTAATCTTGTCAGAGGAGACAGACATGATTAAAAGAACTAGGTCTCCCAAAGAGAGAATATATTGCCAAGAGGGATTTAACCTGCTCAGGGAGAACTGGAGAGGCTTTCCTGAGAAGGTATGAGTGTGTTGAGATGTGAACAATGGGTAGGGATTTAACCAGGCTAGGAGGGGAGAATGTGTTTGAGGGGTGTGCAGAGGTCCTGTGGTGGGGCGAACAAGTCAAGAGTGAAGGACCAAGAGGTCACTGTAGTTGAGACAGAGGTAGTGATGGGAGCTATTGTGGGAGATGAGGTCACAGGGTAGGTAGGAGGCAACCCTCCTCCAAAAAAGTTTTGCCATTATTCCAAACGATAGGGAAAAAAATGAAGGGATTTGTAATGACTGTGATATAATCAAATCTGGGTTCTGATTAGATCATTCCAGATGTACAGTGGAAAACAAGTTAGAGGACTAATGAGGTAGAATTTTAAAAGGGAAGATCATATATTCTTGGACATTAATTAAGGGCATGCCTGAGTTAAAGCATCGTAATGGATAAAAAGTGACTCTGCCCTCAGAAACTCTACACTGAAATATTTATGGTGCATTTTCTCTGGGTCAAACATTCTTCATACATAATCTCAGGTAATTCTTTCAAGAGCCCTGTGAGGATATTCACACAGGTACTCATACAAAGGTACAATACGTACTCATACAAAGAGAAAACTCAGGCACAGAGGCTAAGTCACTGGCCCAGGGTTGCCCAGACATAGGAAGCCTAGCTAGGTTTAATTTGGGGACTGCTAAGTGAGTGTTCTTCCCACTGTACCACGCCCTATTGAAATATACAGAGTAGAAGTGATAAATGCTCTGAAAGCATTTAATGACATAAATTGCCAGGAGATCTGATGGAATAACTAGCGTTACTGGTAGTTATAATGGTAGCGGGACTCATAGTACTGCTGTCATTAAGAAACTTCAATTAGGTGTTGTACATGTTCATGGTATTTGAACACGGTATTTATTCTTTCAGAAACATGTGCCATGCTTTTATAGTTTGCCACAAAGGAGCTCCTCACCTGAAGCTTTTGGTTGCTACCTGCTTCCTCTGCCCTTCAGAGGTACCAGAGCTCAGAGCAGGATCCCAAGGGTCACAAAAGAAACGGAATCTGCTGGACTTCCTGAGGGTCCTCCTGAACTCTTCCCTGGGCCTCCTTGGTTACTGTGCATTGTCTGCAGACAGTTCCTGTGGCTGTGGCGACGTGAAAGGGAGCATGCAGCCAGGAACAAGAGGCATTACGAGTGGGAGCTGCCAGCCCACAGCTTCAGCTTAATGTGATGGGCCTGCCTGCTAATTCAGCCTGACATATTCCATGATGTATCACTTAATGGGGAAGGGCTCTGTGTAGGTATCTGGGGATGGAGCCTCTAATGCTTTGCCCAGATAAGACAGAGGGGATGGAGAGCTGAATGCCTCTCGTGTTATTCCAGCCTCAGTCCCAGGTCTATGTAAAGGCTTGTCCACTGTCCAGTGACTCCCCTCACAAGGAGAAAAGGAGAAGTTGGTGGTTCAAGCAGGATAGGATGGACCGATTAGGAAACCACACTGAGACTATTTTTTGTCTGCTCTGGCCACATACTCCTTTTGAGGCCAGGCAGGAAGGAGATCGGAACACTATTCCCTGAGTCAGGCCCACAGGCAATCATTAAAGCTGTCTCTGGAAACATACATGGATTGCTCCTTATGCCAGCTGCTGTGTTTACAACACCCCATTCCCTGCTCCACCCAACTCCAAGGTGTTATCTCCCCCAATGCCCTCAGTAACCAACCTTCCAAGGATGATCCCTCTGTTTGCCCCATTTTACAGGGGAGGTTGGGGAGGCGGAGGAGTCCTGAATGAGCACACCTAGCCACTACTGTGAATGAAACTATTAGGTTGAAATACAAAATTTCCATTTTTGTAAGTCAGAAATTGTCAAATATCAGCAATCTCATGTGGTTTAGCCTAACACTTTAAAAAGGCTCTGTGCTGTATGGATGTGACATCAAATCAGGGAACATGCTGGCTTGGAAGAACCCATAGAGCCTCTTCCTAGGACATCATCTGCATGTGGGGGAGAGTCTTATAGTGGGAGGCCATAGTGTCTAGGCCTCTCCTCCTTCATTATTCTTGGTATTATATGCTGGCATCCTCAATAATATCATGCTGGAAGAACGATTTCCATGGATAAGCAAAGTGTGAAAGCGAGTATCCTGGGCAGTTCTTGAAATCTACAGATGAGGACACTGAGGTCTACAGGTTAAGCACCTTGTCCATGGCCACCCTTCCAGGGTTGCCCGCACAGCCCAGGCCTCTGCCTCCTGTCGCAGACTTCTGCTTTCGCACACCACCTGCCAGAGCCATCCTCTACAGGACCAGAACCACCTTTTGCCAAATGATAAGAGCAGAACTAGACAAAATTCAGATCAGGCCAGGATGTCTTAACTCAGTTCAAACCTTCTTGTCTGAGCCATCTTGGCAGAGTCATTGATGGGGCTAGGATCAACGCAAAGACAAGGGAGGTGCTGCATGAAAAGTGGCCAGTCCTTGGTGCTTTGAGTGGCCAGTGCTTGGCCCAACTGCAGGTGGTTCTATGCTGAGCAGCTGGAATTCAGTGATGCCCCCCGACTCAGGTGCCTCACCCTGCTCTCTGACCCTGGTTGAGTTTCAGCTCATACTCCTAGGCTGCTTTCAAAGGACAAGCATCCCAGCCCTGTGTCTTGCCTGGACACCCAGTATTACATTAGAATATCAACTGAATAATGTCCCAGGCCCCCAAAGAGCAGCCTGAGTCTAATCTGCAATAAAGCTTACAGAGATATATTTCAGTTGTAATATTCCTGGGAAGCTCTTCCCCCCAGAGAGCAGCATAGCTTCCTCCCTCACTTCAATCAGTCCCTGCTCTAATGTTATGCTCTCAGGGAGGCCTTCCATGGCCATCCCACTTCAAATCGCACAGCCTCCAGTCTATCCTCTTACCCAACTGACTGATTAGAGTATTTTAAACCCTCAAGCAGTTCATCAGTGAATTTTCTTCGCTGTTTCGTGATTAACTTGGTGGATGTTACAATCCCTATTGCACAGATGAGGAAGCTGAGGCACAGAAAGGTGAAGTTGTCTGAAGGCACATAGTGAGTCTGAGGCAGGGTGACTACTCAGGTCTGGCACTCCTGCCACTCTTTGACTCAAGAGTCTATGCCCTTAGTCACTTGAAGCACACTCAGATGCTTGGGAGGGAGACAAGTTAATAGATCTTTCAGCAAGGG